TATCACCAAAGTGCTCACCTACCTCCAAATCTAACACCTGGCCTGGTTCATTACCCAGTACCAAATCCAATGTGGCCTCGCCTCTTGTGGGCCTATCTACATACTGTGTCAGGAAACCCTCCTGCACACATTGGACCCATCTAAAGTACTTGAACTATAGCGTTTCCAGTCAATATTTGGAAAGTTAAAGTCCCCCATAACTACTACCCTGTTACTTTCGCTCCTATCCAGAATCATCTTTGCAATCCTTTCCTCTACATCTCTGGAACTTTTCGGAGGCCTATAGAAAACTCCCAACAGGGTGACCTCTCCTTTCCTGTTTCTAACCTCAGCCCATACTACCTCAGTAGACGAGTCCTCATCAAACATCCTTTCTGCCACCGTAATACTGTCCTTGACTAACAATGCCACACCTCCCCCTCTTTTACCACCTTCCCCGATCTTCCTGAAACATCTAAACCCTGGAACCTGCAACAACCATTCTTGTCCCCGCTTTATCCATGTCTCCAAAATGGCCACAACATCGAAGTCCCAGGTACCAACCCATGCTGCAAGTTCACCCACCTTATTCCGGATGCTCCTGGCATTGAAGTAGACACACTTCAAACCACCTTCCTGCCTGCCGGTACACTCTTGCGACCTTGAAACCTTATTCATGACCTCACCACTCTCAACGTCCTGTACACTGGAGCTACAATTCAGGTTCCCATCCCCCTGCTGAATTAGTTTAAACCCTCCCGAAGAGCATTAGCAAATTTCCCCCCCAGGATATTGGTAGCCCGCTGGTTCAGGTGTAGACCATCCCGTTTGCACCTGAACAGTTATAATAACAAAGGTTGATTTTCCAGACTGAAAATTCAAGTCAGAGTCAAATTAAGCCTATTGAGGTGTTACAGAAAGAGACTGTTTTTTTTTTTAAGTATTTTACAAGGATACTTTTGGGTACTGAAAGGCATGTTTTTGAGATCTATAAAGGAGGTTTCTTTGGGATTGGACGATTATATATTATCTCATGTTTCAAGTTTTTTTAAGTTTGTGTGGTAAGTAAATAGTCTTGTTACTGGTTTTTCTCTTCATTTATTTAGATTAATAAAATCAAGCTTGCAGCATTTTGTGCTTAGGTTTCAGTGACAGACCACATTGATAAAACCATACCAAAGTAAATTATGATCTCAGAGATAGTAAGAACTGCCAATGCTGGAGTCTGAGATAACACAGTGTGAGCTGGAGGAACACAGCAGGACAGGCAGCATCAGAGGAGCAGGAAACCTGGCGTTCTGGTTCGGGACCCTTCTTCAGAAATTATGATCTATCAAGTCAGTTTTCAGTCTGGAATCTCATTTGTCCAGTAACATTATCAGTTATGATCCTGTCAGAAATCACACAACACCAAATTACAGTCCAACAGGTTTATTTGGAAACACCAGCTTTCAGAGCTTTGCTCCTTCTTCAGGTGTTTTTTCAGGATCAAAACACACATTACTCTAGTAACAGACTGCATTTTCAAGACAGGTGGGACCTGTTCCCCAAAGACAGTTAGCTCAGCACCTTCAGGTTAGGATGGAATCGAGTACCAGCTTTCCTGCCATTGACTCTGTCTACACTTCCTGCTGTCTTGGAAAAGCAGCCGACATAATCAAAGACCACTCCCACCGCAGTTATACTCTCTTCCACCTTCTTCCATTGGGCAGAAGATACAAAAGTTTGAAAACACGAAAGATTTAAGAACAGATTCTCTGCAGCTGTCAGACTTACAAATGGGCCTCTCATATGTTCGTGTTGATCTTTCTCTGCACCTTCTCTATGGCTGTAACACTACATTCTGCTCTATATACCCTGATAAACTCATGTAAGGTATGACTTGTCTAGTTTATCCAGCAAAACAATACTTTTCACTGTATCTCAGTACATGTGACAATAATAAATCAAATCAAATTAGATTGAAACCAATACTCCAGTGAGAGTCAGCACCTTCAGGAGAAGAGGGGGACCCATACCCCAGTGAGTGTCAGCACCTTCAGAACAGGGGTCCCTGTATCCCAGTGAGAGTCAGCACCTTCAGGAGAGGAGGGGGACCCTGTACCC